GTATGAAGGATACTGGAATATCTCCCAAAGGCAAAAGAGACGTGGTAACCGTTCTTGAAAACTATCCAAAGAAAAGGAGGCGACCGTTTTAAGCTACATACTAGGTGCATTAAAGGGAAGAAAGAAATGCTTTATCTCGCCTGAGATATGTATTCTGGGGAAATGCATCTTAAAGCTCCCAGATTTTTAGATTACAAAAAAAGAATTGTACGAATAATAAGCAAATCCCATCCCCGTTATTCTTGTAAGCCATTCTTTATTAATCGAGGTATTTTGCCATTACCTTGTCTCTTCATATAAGAATCAATGTTTTTTTGTCAAAAAATGACTTATTTAAGGGCGGGAATATATTTTCAGTAAACGCCGTTGTCTATAACTACAACACTCGACGTAGTAATCATATTCATCAGAAGACAGTCTCAACACCTCACTACAAAAATGCACATATAATACATGTAAAAAGTTTAAGTCCCAAGTAAAATCTTTTCTGCTGCACAACTGTTTCTATACAATTAGACTATACCGAGCATCCGAAAGGAAAGTAATATTAATTTTAACAATGACATGTAATGTATTATTTACCATTTGGATTGTATAATTCTAAAGAACCTGTAATAAGTATTGTGCTTCAGCTTCTAGGTCAATGACCCTCATCTCGATCAGGTTTTCGTCCAGTTTCCCTAATCCTCGATAAAATGCTGAGATGGTCCCTTGTTTTACTTCTGGACATAAATTTAACTTCCAATTAACTTCTCCCCACAGCACGTCACACACAGTTTTTAACTGTTTTTGGTGTAAATAAATGATATGGCAAGGAAAATACTGACAAAATTTATTTTCCAAACTATCAATAAAAATGTCATGAGTTTTTATAAATAAAAAATACTGTTTCATATGAGACATACCGGGAAATATTTAATAGCAAATTCAACTTATCATTTGGGTACCCGCGTACTGATACCTGCTCTTAACATGTGACAAATTTCAAGCAGAATTAAAAGGTTTGAATGCAAAGCATTCACAAAATATCTCTAAATAAAAGGAATTTGCAAATAAAATTGAAGTACTTACACGCAACACTCACCATGCTGGATACTCGGATTGACATGACATTTTACCAGCTTTTTCAGCCCGTACATACAAATTTCTAAGTGCTATGAAGCATTGCAAAAGGCGTTAACGAGACAATTTAGTATGACGACCTTATTGCCTGCCGAAGCACGGAAATCGCCACCGCCTCCGGTCCTGCGGCCGTCCCTCGTCAGCCGCACCGCCGCTATCACCCTCTCTGTGGTCAGGGTGTCAATCGTCTCAGAGGGTCCAGACTGACAAGAAGGTCGAACATACGCATGAATAATCCAAATACAAATTTTGCGAAGATATGGGTTCCTGAAAATGTCACCTCTATGTACGATAAATAAATAAATACACACACATTTCACTTTTCGATTGGAAACAAAATTATCACAACAATTAAAAAAATAATGTAGAAACAGAGTGTAAATGTCACAGTGCACCGTAGGTACCTTTTTTATGTTTCCTTAAAAGTAGCATTGGTTTAATGTTTCCTTACAACAGACTACGATAGAATTATAAAGAACGCGTATCACCCTGCATTTCAAACGGACCGAAAGATGTGGGATTTGCCATCAGTCGTGAAAAAACCGAAAGCGCTAGAAATCTGACACCGGTTGATGGGCGTCGCACTACGTTCCTGGCGTTGCCGATGCAACGGTTCACCTGCTACGGAAGGCGCGGAGGTCACGAAATGATTTGATGCAAAACGCTTCTGAAACACTATTTATAATACTCCATAGCACTTCAAAATTTTAATATCTGGGTTTTGCATGGTGTTTTACCAACTAGCGAGATTTCAAGAGAATCCGAGAATCCAGCATGGTGAGTGTTGGGTGTTAAATAAAATGTAACAGCCCTTAGCTTGAAAATTTGGTCTTCCGCTATAATTGTATTTGGATTATTCACGCATGTGTTCGACCTTATTGCCTGTCTGAACCTGCCATGTAAACACTCGTTTTTGTCACCCAGGATGCTACATGTCCTCCCAGGCGATTGACCCCCTGACGACAGAAAGGCTGACAGAGGCGGCGCTGCTCAAGAGAAATGGCCGGATCCTAGGCGGTGGCAATTTTCGTGCTTCGAAGGTCATGAAAGGTCTTAATACAGAGTGTACATTTTTATCGTTCGCCAAAGATTCGGGCTGCGTCGCCAGGGGAGTCGAGGCTTCGCTCGCTCGACGTGCTGATTTAACTCCCGTACTGATACACGGGAACTATCGGGAAGATGCTGAAAGTGGTTTTCTTCGGCTCGAATGCATTCTTGGTACCTCTGGAACATATTCTAATTTAACTTTAGAAGTCTCGAGAAATTACTGCGATTTTACTTTTAATAAAGCGCCAGGCTCTTCCTTCCAATGCGAGCTTTCTGCATACACCTGAATATTCACGCCCGGAAATTTCATAATGAACCTCTTGCGGCGCTTACTGGCAGACTTAGTCGAACGAAGGTATCGTAAAGAAATATTCTCTGCTTCAAAGAAAATTTCATTATGCACTGCTGAACGCTCTCCGAACACTGATGTATCGACCGTTCGCGCCGGATGAATGGGCCCCTTATTAACAAGGACCTGGGGCAGCGAGGGCTCAATCGCCGAGGCAAGAAGCGCCACAATCTTTGGCGAAAAACAAAATGTTCGCCCGGTTCTAATTGTCTCACAAACATTACTTAAAATTCTTCATAACACTTCAAATATTGTATGTAGGGGTTTTGAAGGTGCTGAAAAACGCTGGTAAAGTTTCAAGTCAATCCGAGTAACCGACACAATGAGTGCATAAGAAAATACTCCAAAAAACTATGGTTTTGCGTTTTTTACGCAACTAAAACGGATTTAGAGTGACACAGCACCACAGACGTGATCAATAGCTCATTTGATTGCTCTCAGTAAGGCAAATGAACTGACATTGTTTTTGGAGAGATCCGTTAGCACATTAAAAAAATATAGAAAAATAATTTGTAGGGGGGGGGGGGTTCAAGGCACCTACGAAGGTGAAACGCTATGAACTACAATAATTACTGTCTTTCCAGCGTAATGTGAATCCTTAAAATTATTCACAAAAATGACAATATTCAAATTATGTAAGAAAATATTTGTTTCTTAAAAATAGTACTTCAATCATTGACTTATTTATATTGAAAAATTATATGGCTTTGAATATTTTCAAACACTAAATGAAGATTTAATTATTAGGACGTGAAAATTACATCAGTTAGCTAACTCAAACACTGAAATAAAATCCAAGTTAAGTTGTTTACTTTGTTTAATAATGATACACGCACACACAAAAAGCACCAAATTCAAATAATGATTATTTCATGTTAAATTATACTGGAATGTTTGGAAACTAAAGAAATATTATTAAATGTATATGATGATATTCATATTTTACACCTGTATTTTTAATATATGAAAATATGTGTAACAACTATTTACACAATACATATGTACACACATTGTATAGGTTTTGTTCCAGGGAGTTTCACACTGTGTATGAGTAGTGAAATGTAAGAGTATCTTTGACTCATTCTAATAACTGATAAAGAGATAATGATACCTCTTTGTAACATCTTTCCTTCAGTCGAAATCATTGTTCTGTCAATCCTGTAGACTTCTATTTTTGTGTTCTGATACAAAATAGATATTAAAAAAAATCAACAATTAAAAATTCAATGAAACCCCCCCAAATATTCTCTAAAGGCAAGAAATAAACCTTAAAATTAGGAAGGGGGGTGCCCTAACTTAGCAACACTCCTACCGCCTCGGTGAGAGCACCCACATGACTTAGTCTAATACCATTATACTGTGACTTAGCAATGCAGCTGTGACGCCACAAAGGCAGCCCATGGCACCGAGGCATGAATATCACAGGTTGCTCGAAACTGTATTGACCAGACATCACTGTTTACAGTATGCGGAATAGAGCTTGGATCAATCCGAAGGATAAGGTTCATCATCAGTGTTGCCACTGTTGGATAATTATCGTTTGGTACAAAATTTCTGTCATGTCTGGCATATTCGATAATGCTAATGATTCCCTATTAGTAGGATAATTTCAACTATGAAATTATATTTTAATATAAATCTATAAGAATGGAACTGCATGCTAAAGAATTGTAAATAAACAAATTTTCTTTAATAAGCTGCCTGATAACACACTGAAAGAATGAAACTCGTCTGGGTTCTCCAACAATATATTTTAAAGTGGAAAGTGGCCATAGATCAAAAGGATATTTTTGCAGTATTTAATTTAAAATCTTCATCAATAATTTTCATGTACTATGCTTGAGGATGAAAAGCCAGACAACTGTATGTTTTGGGTTAATTTTTACCTTGCATAGTAGAAATCTTAAACACATGAAAATATACTGCTGATGAACCAATGCACATTCTATTTGAGTCATATTCAGACTTAAAAATCTTTCAACACTAAATCCTGCTCTCAAAACTATAATTGCTTCAGCAACTACATCAGCATTCAATGCTAGTTAATTATACATCCAACAGGGTGGGTCTCTTAATGGTTTCTACTGGGTACTTTTTATACATAATGTTTTACCTGATGAAACTGTTTTATTAGTGTTATATTTCTCCATATTTACTGCCTGATGATGAAGATAGAATTGTTCTTCAAAACATTAATAATATTTAATAAAATATTAACACATGAAAAGAAATATTTAATGTGTTTATCAAATCATATCAGATTTAGCTTTGTGCTTGCTTAAATACCACTTTCTTAATTAGACCAAAAACAGGAAGGGTTCAGCATAGTTGCAAAGAATATTGCTAAGAAGAAACATATTCACTTGCATTGAAGGAACCAACGGTTCAGAGATCATACAATAATGCTCAATATTAATAAGGAAGTTCTTAGAGGGAGATGTTTAAAGGATAATGTATCACATCTAGAAAGAAAGAAATTGAAAACATTTCCAATTCTTTATTATATACAAAAGTTTTAAATGGTTGAACTCCAAAAGTTAGGACAATACCTGTTTTATGCAATTCCAGTAGCAAAGGTTCATTTCTGCAGATATTTGTACGTCACCCTAGGAATAAAATGTTAATTTACTACATTTTTCCTGCATATCTGCATCTATGAAAGAGGTCAGCATACTATTATGTAATATTGTTTGATATGCAAATCGATCAGAAGCTGATCAATTCTGCATTCATGAGCAAGTCAATTTACAAAATGACAGTACCAGATGCTTTTACCATATTAAATTCATCACAAAGTGAAATAATGTATACATTGATTTACAATATACAATAAAATTTACATAGTAAAACAATTAAATCATAAGAGAAATATTTATATTGTACACAAATAAAAAGCAGCAACAACTCTTAATGTGTTACAGATTCTGTTAACCTATCAGACAGCAGAGGAATGAATCTATGAAAGAAAAAAAAAGTATAAAAAGACAAACTACAGCGTGTAATTCCTCTTTTCAGGCAACTGGCTATTAAATATTTACACAATAACATTCTTCTAAACTATAGAAGCTCAACAAATATATTTTGCACCCAGCAATACTGCAAATGGTTTTATATAAGATACCTGACAAGGTAAAGATGTCCCTGAGCTACTGCACTACACCACACAATTCTTTATTTTAACAGAAGTGTAGCAAAATTGCTCAGTTTCTGAACCATCCAATTTTTTAAAAAATCCTGAAATCATACTTGAAGTATTCTATAAGGTGAACAAATTCTTGGTATCTGATTAGCCACAATCTATTCTTGACCTGACAAATAAGCTGACCAGTACAGACTGATTTTCATACACAAACTATGTTTCTACAACGAGAAGTATCATAACATATAAATGTGGCAATTGCTTTCTTGTAAATAAACCAAGAAGGAATGTAGAGTGAACTCAAAGGAAGAGAATCACAGCACTGAAAAATCAGATTAACAAAATCGGTCCAGAAATTAATTTTTTAAGTAGGATAAAAATTACAATGTATTAAACTGGAGGGAAAAAAAGAAAACCACATTAATGAAATATGTTGTTTTGTAATAAAATACTGCTTTGTCATGAAAAAAGTAATGTTATTTGAAATTAAATTATAAAAAAATGAAACATCTGTATTCTAGTCACATCATTTGCTTAATGACCAGTTCTTGTACTCGCAGAGCATTTCATCTTTTCACTTAGTATTGAATTTAAAATATAAATAAATTTATATAAAACAAGGTGTCAAGTCATACTTGTACTCAATACTGTGGTAATTTTAATGCATTAGTTTTATGATGCTCAGTTTTCTGTGTAATTTTCTGATGTTGTTTACCCATAATATAGGTACATTTTATTTTCAGTCATTTTTCCTATAACTAAATTTTGAGAAAGTTTGAAAATTTAAAATCTCTGATCTTTTTGAAAATCACTATGGAAATGATGTCTTGCTGAGCATTTCAAATTAAAAAATGATATTGGATTTCCAGTCATTTCTAATAATACGATCTAAAGATCCAATTACCAACAATCTAAAGGCACATACACAAACTTTAGGAACTACATTTATAATAAAATACAACATTATTTAAGTAGATCATACTTTGCTTTTTTTTCTTCTTTATTAAATTTATTTACTGGGATTTTCTAGTGGTGTGAAAGTATGTATATTCAAGATTGAAAACTTTTCACTTTTGAATTATTGCCGGTTACATGTTTGAAGTAATTATAGTTTTCAACTTCTGAAATAAATTTCACCTAAGTCAGAAATAAAGGATATTTATATTACTTCAAAGAATTTAAAATGAAAATTTTCCCCATAATTCTCTACACTGCAAATGAAAAATATTACTAACATGAATATTTATTTAATTTATATCTAGGTAATTAAATTGTATCAAAGAGAAAATATACCTAAACAAATAATTTGGCTTGAAAGACATATTTTTGGCAACAATGCTAAAATATGGACATTTATATATAATTATGTATCAAAATTTGTACCTGAAATTAAAATTCATGAAATACAAAAGCATGTAAAAGATTTTCACAAACCAAAACTGTATTAGCAACAATTGGACATGACTTCATTACTTAATAAAATTTGATATGCTTGAGAAAGACACCTAGAGTTACATCGCAAATGAGTAAAAGAACTAAAAAAATATTTCCTGAAAAATAAAAATTTGACTGAAATTGAAAGGGTAACTAATTGTAATAAGTCCGTAATACATGTAAAATCTTGTAATGCAATTGCATGAAAACAATCACAGAGAAAATTATACAGTGGAAACACTAAATGACCAACACATTAGAATTGAAGAATTAAGATTGTTTGCATCAAGATAATGCAAGAAATAACATTAATCTAAATAATAAAAATACTACTTTATTGCTATTAATGTTTTCCCAATAGCATTTTCATTGTAATGCTGCCTATACACTGCACCCTGTTGAGCTGCACCAAGTTTCCAAAAGACCTTCAATTCTCCCAATTCCCGCTGCATTGATACTATAATTGAGAAACTTGTAAAATATTAAATGCAAGAGTTGAAAATGTAAAGAAAAAATAATCAATTGAACATGTTCATACCTTACAAATCATTTAGTACAGGTGAAATATATTCCTGTACTTTTCTGGAAAGATCACAATCATATGTAAGTAAATTAAAGCTTTTGTCAAGCCTCAATGCCACAATTTATCAAAAACTTCATTTTAATATTTTATGTTTAAACAATGCTTAACCAATGAATTTAGACTGGTTGCATGTGTGATTGTATCCTCTGTTCATTTAACATTTGTAAACAAAATTTACAGCAAATATCACCATAAAACAATATGGATGTATTTCATTTATTATAGGCCTGCAGATTTTCCCCTTTCACTCACAAAAATAGTATATGACCTTTAGGTTCTCCACTCCACAATGATTAAGCCCTGAGTTTAATCATGAAAGGTACTTTGCCAGTGAAAACAGCACATAGCTATCTTCAACAGTTCAGTTATATTTTAAATTACTCTTTTCATTAAGATCATGAAGACTTAATTCTGTTTTAGCTCAAGAAAATTATGATTCTTGGAAGAGCATTTTATTGGTTGAATGTTAATTCTTATGAACACACTAGAATTTATTAATATCAATGTGACAATATAACAGAACAACATTTATTTTAGATTTAAATTGTTGCTTAATTTATGAATTTGCAATGACATTTAATTGCAAGAAAAATTAAAAATTCTTTCTTATATTCATTTGCAAATGAATTGAGGATAGCCAAAGAACACAGTAAACCAGTGATTATAAAAGCACTCATATGAAATATTTTTTGAAGTGCTACTATGACAGTTGTAAAAAATGAATGCACTTGCTGTTTAAGTTCTCACAATGTTAAATAAAGCTGCCATTGCTATCTATAACAAAATGAAACTGATGCATATGCTTGATGATTGTGTCATGACAATACATATTAATCACAAGAAGAATTTTGATGTAATTGCTAGGTAGCACATTGCACCTACTACAAGAAGAGGCCTATGAAGGCTTAATGGCATCCATTACATAGAGAATATCACAAACTTCAATAGATCAAACTTAACTCAATTCATGGTAGATACAAGGTGTCCTGGATCAGGCAGGAAAATAAACTGAGATACATGAAGAGAATAACTAGTAGAACATTTCATATAATTACAGAGTTATCAGTATCTAGTTAATGATGAGATATAAACAAGATTTGAAATTGCTTATACAACGAAAAGATATTGGAGTAGCAAGCTTTTATGTATATACATTTTAGAAGGAACTAATAGTTCACAAAAAGCACAAATGAAAGATAAGGAAATTAAAATATAGCTATTACATCAACATGAAATGACCTCCCTTTAAATAATTGCATTCCAGTCAACAGTGATTTGTTTGTGCAAATGCACTTACTCCTTTCACATTCTTTTGCCACTGCATGCAAATGTGTCACAACTTCAAATTTATGAACTGTATTTCGGTACATTTGTTCCTTTATGTAACTTCAGAGGAATAAATCAGTGTTAAATCTACTCCCTAGGGAGATATGACAAAAATTTTGATTTTTTTTTTTCAAAATTAGTTCATTTTTTGAATTTCACCTAATAAAAGTCTCAGTACTTTCTGCTATTTGAAAAGTTTACTTTATACTGTTCTGCCATTTTTAAATAGATGGAATGTAACCAGCTAAGATTCTGCTCCACACTCCTTTCTGTAGCACATTATCTTGTCTTAATCTGTTTTTCTATTTTAGCACCCAAAACTGTAGAAAAACTTTATAAGATTTCCCTTTGTTGATGACTTTTTTTTTCAATTCACAATTAATAGTATTGAATAAAACTTGGATCTATATTTTATTTCATACACTCACGGGATAAAAAATTACAGAATAAAAAGTAAGTCTTATGAAGTAATCACTTCAGAGCCATATTTTGATTGAACTTTTTAGCTCTGAGATGAACTACTATTTTGAATTATGCAGTTGAAATGCTTTTCATATTAATGTTTGTTTTGAATGTACTCGCTTCCAGGAGCAAATATGCAATTGAATTGCCTATTTTTTGGTGTTTTTACACTATGAAGAAATCAATATTGCCTAGTATAGCTTACAAAATGTCAAAACTCTCTAAAAAACCTGCTGTGCCAAGAAAAGTTTTGAAAAGATATGTGCAGTATCATCTTCACCTTTAAATGCCTTTTCTCAATATGTGATTTTATAGCATCTTCTTGCATTCAAAACACTCCTTCAAGATAAATTTTGGTCTGATCAAATTGAATCTTATAGATATTATATTAAAATGTTTAATAATTTAAATTTGGCAGGAATTTTTATGTGAACTGAATAGAAAAATGTTTACTGAGTTATAATTAACATAAGAAACATGTTCTATAAAGAATAGCCGTCCCAGTTGTTAAGAACTTCTAGCACCCATGTCAACTAAATCCCAATCCATTTTGGTTTATAAATATATCCATTGAGGAAGTTGAAAAAAATAATAATGGGTCAAAAAATTAATAATTGTAATACAAGGAACACTTTTTGAATCACTTAACAAAAATAAATAAATTTTAAAAATTAACAAGAAACTGGTTTCAACAATCATGTTTAAACCAGTTCATGGAATTTCTAATTCTAACTAAATGTTTCTCTTAAAAAAAAATTGATTTTGTCATTTGCAAAATTCAGCTACTTTCAAAAATCAGCCACAAGTCTCCATAAATCAGTCAAGTACTGTGCTGTGCAGAAGTGACGTAATCTCAAAGAAGTGACGTCGTCTTTTGTTATCTTCAACAATGGAGATTGGTGTATTTTGAAAGAAGAGAATAGATTCCAGCAAATAACATTTTTTCTCTACATCAAGGTTTCATTAAAATATAAGAATGAAGAAAGTTACTAAGTACAAGCTTGTCCCACCTGATACAGACACCATGTACAATTAGCACACGCAAGTCATGCTTACTCCTAAGATCCAACACTAAAATGTTTAGCACAAGTTAACATATTTATAAAACAACAAAGATGTTCATTTGTAGGGAAAGATAGGCCCTCCTTGGAAACGTTTCCATAACAATCCTGGAGTGAAGGTGTTATTCTTTTTATTATGACTGCCAATTAATGGTTACTTTACCCACAAATGCATTCAAACATAAAAGTGTCACAATCAATTCAATAGTAACCACAAACAGTAATGATAAAATAAACTCCTCCAAATTTCAAGTATAAATAATATACCTACTGAGAAATATGAACACACAAGGTGATCTGCTTTTCAATAAAAATTGTTAAACACTTTTGAAAAATGGGAATACAACAAAATTCTGATTATTGAAAAGCATGTCCGTTTCTACATAGCACTATACTGTACTCTTGTGCTTAGCACATTGCATTTTGAGACAATATTCAATACTTTTATGCATCTAAAAAATTGGCAGTTCAATTCACAACACCACAGCTTGCCCTGACATCCTGTGTATGAATGCACAAAAAGTGAACTTCTCCCTCAATATATAGGCAATATTTGCAAGATACTTTCATTACAGCACATGACTAAATCCTAATGTTGTAAAATTAACACTAATAAAAAAATTTAAAAAAAAAATTAAAAAAAAAAAAACACTTTGAAATGTTGTGTAATGATTTTTTAAATTAATGATGAATCAAACTCTTTTATTATAATTTGTGATTTTTTTCTCTATTATTCAGAAAAGGGATTATAAAATAATATTTGGTTCTAAAAATAAGAGAAGTGTGTACTGTTGATTATGAAATCAGCTGGTGTGTCAGAATCAAACAATTGAATAGAAGCCAAAGAATTCATAAAAGGTCATTATGCAAATGATTTTTTATCATGATACATGAATAAAAAAGGAAGCAGTGCAATTATAAAAAATACAAGAAATTAATATGATTTAGTGCCTTTTGTTCCTAAACCAACTAATTAGAGTCCATAATGTAAAAACGTACATCAGTTACGAATATCTGGCCTAAGATTTATTTTATAAAATCTTGATATGACCATGAATGACTAGAATTTTTAATAGCAGTTACAATGCTTCCATCATACAATATTTAGCATATTTCAATACTCAGCAATCCAAATGAGAAGCACATTCAATAGAATTTCTAATTGAACAATGTCTTTGAATGCACATTTAAGAACAACTGCATCATATTTGTGGGAGGTTTTAAAAACTCAGCTCTCACAACATGATAAAATTTACTTTGCAGTAGAAAAAACAATATCAATATTTGAACCAATTCACCTGCATGTGGATGGCGATATGACTATTTGTGGATGGATATATTACTGTTGGTTAGATGGATTATTAACTGCATGGCAGCATGAATGCTCAGGAAAAGAAGTTGAAGAGATGATTATGCTAGTTTGAACATGTTGCCACTATCTGACATCAAAGGGAAGTCAGATGGCAAAAATACCTTCTTTCCTACCTTAGCATTTCAGGGATCAAATGTAACATTTTTTATAACAGTAACAATCTATCTTAAAAAAGCAAATCATTAAAAAAAGTCATAACAGAAAATAGCGCCTGGAAGTTTAACCATTTCTCCCAAAAGACTAGTTTGCTTACAAAATTCTAGTTTACTACAACTGATTCTTAAAGCATAATTATCTGTATCACTGAACACAACTTCATCTTTTGATGTCGTCTGGTGATGGCAATTCCGCTCGAGATGCCATCTGTAAAGCAAGGACCCATCTGGAAGGAAAGTAATAAATGTTAAAAATATTGATGTTTTAACAGATAAAATGACATATATTATTATTATTATTATTATTATTATTATTATTATTATTATAATCATTACTATTTGTTCAATGTTATTAACCCATTGGCAGTAATTTTTGTAAATGTAAGAATTTGATTATACACTTCTCTAATTATCTGTATTCAGTGAAACTTGTCTTAAGCAGTCTAGGTTCTGACAAAAATTTGGCTGTTAAGTCAAGATTACGAGTGTACATCAGGTCTAGTTAAGCTACGTGCAATGAAATAAATTATGTGCTCTTAAAAATATTTTCAATTGCCTTAATCTCAAAATACAACTTAACAAATTGCACTTCTTCCTCGTCTTCTTCCTCGTCCTCGTCCTCGTCCTCGTCATCGTCCTCGTCCTCGTCCTCGTCTTCGTCTTCGTCATCGTCATCGTCTTCGTCTTCGTCATCGTCATCGTCATCGTCATCGTCATCGTCATCGTCATCGTCATCGTCATC